GAGATACCTGCTGGCTTTCCAGAGGGACAGCCAGTCCTGAGGAACTGGTTTTCTAGCTGTTCCTGTGTGATTTGAGGAAGGGACAGATACGATAATATATTATGGGTCATTTGTATAAATATATGATCGACACATTAGTGGAAAGAAAGGGATCTTAAGAGGGTTGATTTGTGCGACGACTCAAGATCACCATCCAGGCTTTGTTCAGTGATGAGCTGGTTTGAGTCCAAGGCATTTGAGTTAGATTACTTGTGGTGCCAACACCCAAAATGTCTCTGTTACGTCCTTTAAAAACCAAGGAGACCATGGTGATTGGCCTGGAGAAGGCCTTGAGCTAGAGATGGAAAGTACAATTCAACCTTGTCCTTGGCAGAGCTAAAGTCAAATGGTTTGCTGTTGCTTGCTAGAACGGTAGTTGGTGCAGATAGTGAATAAGGATAGAATGACAATGAGAACGAAGAGGAAGATGAGGGCTGACCAGGAACTGAAGGTGACTGCTTTAAACCTGGAGGGAGCTTCTGCTGGGATCATATTAGTGAGATTAAGCATGTAACCCAAAGCCCAGCCAATGGATGTGTCTCCGGCCTGCAAAAACAACAGAATGAAAAGTTCACATAGGGCATTCAAAGATCTGTCTCGATTAGCTATATGTCTGCATGCCTAGCACATCTAGAATTTACAACTCTTTGCTTCAATAGCACCAATGCTACTTATTCGTTACATGTTGCAGCCTCCCTTGTCTTAATTCAGTAATATCCCATGATATAACGCATAATACAATATAACAAGCTTAACTATGGCAGCTATGTTAAATATATAGTTATTGCCATAGCAAGATCCATATTTAACCATCTTCTCCAGTACTCATAACCATTTTATTCCTGCACCTGGAATGAACAGTCTCTTATTGACTTAATCTCTTTTCCATAAATTATGACTGTATCTGGTCCTATCGCCACTGAAACATGCACCAGGTGACGCAGTTTATCATTGTCAACCGCACATTGCTAAGACAGTTTATTAGTATCCACTAGTTGGTGCCAACACACACAGTTTATAAATGTCCATTAGATGGCGCTGTCATTAACAATTCCTCACTGTTCACTAAATGACCTATGGTCGCCAATCTGTCTAAATGGGACCCAGTAACGTTCATTATAAAAGGTATAATATATGGAGTTCCAAAATTCTGGAGCAAAATATTGACCCCCACATTAGTACTTTCCCCAAGCACAGCTTTCAAGCTGAACTCTGTGTTGATAGGAACGTAATATGGCCTTACTGTAACTGGAATGTAAGTGAATTTTCCAAGTGATTATAAATTACCGGTAACGTTAAGGTGAACTGGAATGGATTATTAGAAACCATTTTGTTTTACTTGCTTCCATTTTATACAATAGTACTCCTGTAAAAAGCTGGATCCTGTCAATGCGAAATGTATCACGGTCTATGACCATTCCATTTATATGTTACAACAGAGATTTTTTTTTTTTAGTCCAATGAGTTTCTTAAAGCCTATCCTGGAACAGTCTCTGCTGATCAGGATAGTCACACTGAATTTAGACTGTGGCCACTTCCATTTCAGGTCTGGCTTTACCCAAGTTCCACATGAACTGCCTTAAATTTGGACTAACTCGAGAAATAAAACCAGAAGTTATAAGACCCTGAGAGAAGTAAGATGACAGTTATAAATTATTAGGGTACACACCTTTCTTTGAAAAGCAATGTTGGGGAATGTCTCTTCATTGAAGCGATATCCTTGGCTTAACAACAGGTAAATAAAGTTTGCCGTGGTGCAATAGCTGCTAAGATGTTTCTGCAGATATGGAGGGGCTTTAACAACCAGCTGCAGGGAGAGGACGAGAACAGAGAAATATTAAAATCCAGTTTTACCGCCATGGCCTCAAATTCTAATAAAATAATTCTTTCCAACTTACATCGCTGTAGGAAGACGAGCACACGGAATTGGTGGCCGCTTTGAAGTTTTCAAGTGAATCCACCGGCATCTTCAGCACAGACTTAATGAAGTCTGTTGTGTAATAAAAGCCTGCAAAAGCCTAAACCATGGAGATAAGAATGAGTAAAACACAACCAAGCATAAATCAAATCATTACTAAAAATATATATCATCAATAGACCAACAGGTAAACGGAACAAAAAAAACAAACGGCACAGGTTCCATTATATAATTGGGCTTACCATAGCTATATAAATGAATGTAATTACATATATATATATATACACATGCACATAAACAAATTCATTTTACATCACTAAATTTATTGATAACACCACACCTACATATTAAAACCCATCACTTCTATTTGCTAGGTTTGTGTAGTACTAACTGTTTGCCACTAGAGGCCACCACAGTCCAAGTTAACTAAGGCATTCCGATAGGTGATTACTAGCTACTGTAAGAAATAATTTTGCCCAGAGAACTGGTCATAGACCCAATAATTCATATAATTAGAAATTCCTGTTATCCTTCATAATAAATGGCAAAAAAATGTAATGAGTGAACCTGTTCTGCCTTTAAGGGGCAGCTGCTCTCTAGTGAAATGTCTGAATAATTATCCCACTTATGATTGCACCTGAATTTTATTTGTGTAGATTAGTGCAGACCCAGTGCTGTAATATATTTATTATTGGGGTCTCCCACTACATAGGATCCCTCATGCTCACCCTACTCCCCATTATTAAATAATAATCATAATCCACATCATTATCATGTAAAGTCATGTTCTGCAGCTTGGTATTGGCACCCTACAACGTCCCTGATCTGATAAATCACCCCAAGTGGCAATGAGATGATGTAATGTCAGGTCCTACCTGGCCCCTGATATGTGCCACCTGTCACAGGTGCATGGTATCTTCTCACCAGGCATGGACCACACCTTAGCTCTCTATGGAGTCATGCTTTGATATTGCTTTCTTTGTAGTTACTGTGGAGTCTGATGTGAAGCCTCCAGGGGCAGCTGATTTTGCTAATCTTCCCATTCTCTTCACTTACCTTAGGGTTTGAGTAATTGGAAGCTGCTACAGTTGCTGCTAATTGACTTAATGAACATCTGTTCTGTCAATCAAGTCCTTTGATTCTAGGATCAGATAGCAAACACCTAGTCTGACAACCCATGTGCCTTGTGTGTTTTTGTATTTTGTTTTGTTTTAACATGTTTCTGGATCTAGACTGGACTTCATTATTTCTAGTCTATATGTTCGTAACTTGTGTTCCGGTTTCTGTTTTGGCCAGCCTTGATCTAGTCATTGATCCAGTAAACCCCCAGGTCCTTATTTCTTGTTTAGTTTTTCCTGCACAGTCACATTCTACCCTTGTGTTATTCAGGAATGACTACCCATTACTTTGGGTCCAAACAGTTACATCGTAGAATGGTGGGATATATTTGCCATTTCATTGTCAACTCAGCACAATTCTTTGTTTGGTGATTAGAACCCTGCTTGTATCATGACACCCAAAAATAAACAGTACAAATATAGCCACTATGAAGGCTACTTACGATGAAATTTCCAGAAATGTTGGGCTGGAAGACGCTGTCAAAGGAGCAGGAGGAAAAGGTGCAACTGGAAAACTGGAAGAGACTTTGCACCAGTGCAGTACACTGACCGGCATCACCACTGCCCGTCATGCTGAGTGTTGCAGTGGGGTTGTAGTTTGGTGGCTTCTCTGTGCCAGTGCATGGCGACTCATAAATATCTCCAAAGGTCAAGGACTTGTTGTAATTTTTCGGCCAACATGGATTTTGAACGACAGTTGCGTAGGACTGCGACTACAGAGAGAATTAAAATGTTACATTTTCGACGGATACATTCTTGGCAATGTTTTCACAGCATTAGTGTCTGCCATGGACTGCGTTATTTACACACAGGGCTATTCACTAAGGTATGACTTATTGGGAATTCAAAATTAATTTCAAATGTAAAGCCAAAATAGCAGAACTAGAAACACATTGGCTCTCGTGGTGTAAAATCTGAAATTTGCCTTGAATTCCTGAAAATTCTAATTTTTGTGAAAAACAATGATGGGATAGCAAAATTTAAAAATTGCTAATTTTAAAAACTCTTCAAGTTGGTGGTATTTCCAGCTCGACTGGTTTTGGTCTAAAATTTGCAATTCCCTTCGATTCACCACAATTCTTGAAATAGTGATTAAGCTGCCTACATAGAATGATTTTATTTATATTCATTTATTTATTTTTTTACTGCCATTTATGAAACTAATAATTAAATTAATAATCTGGATAAAAGCAGCTCTGAATAAGCATCGAGTGTGTCCATGTGCAAAATAATTATACAATACATCAATTCTTCATTATTTGGCAGGTGTACAAAAGAAAATGTCAGCCTTTCTCAGGTGAGCCAGACTCAGGTGAAGGAGGGGCTCATGTATCCACACCCACTCCACTCATTGCACAACCGTAACAGTGTGAGTTGGTGACCCCATTTAAGGATAAAAAAAAGTTATTTTTTATTATTCAACTGAGCGTTCTAACCACCTGGCAAGTCATGGGTTACATTTTCAGGAGTCCCCTTTGTATTAGAGTAATTGAGAGTCTGGCAATCGATCACTTAGACGCCAGGAATTATCCAGACCTCCCATGTGACCCACTTGCGAATCTTGGCTATTACCCCTGCGAGAGCCACTAATCTTTATTATGGTAACAATTAATGAAAGTAATGCAGCATACACAGCACTCCACGATAATGGGTTTAATGTTTACATTGTTTTAGTACTAATGCAAGGAATTTCATAAGTGTCCTGAAAAAAAAAGGTTTTTACAGTGCAAAACTCACACATTGCAATAAACCTCTGATTGCAAAACTTCTCATTGAAGCTTTACATTTTTTATTAAAACCTTAACGAAATTGTGTATTCCTTCAC